CATCCAGCCACCTCATTCTCTGTCGTCCCCTTCTTCTATTGCCCTCAATCTTTCCCAGCATCAGGCTCTTCTCCAGTGAGTCCTTCCTTCTCATTAGGTGGCCAAAGTACTTGAGTTTCAACTTCAGGATCTGGCCTTCTAAAGAGCAGTCAGGGTTGATCTCCTCTAGGACTGACCAGTTTGATCGCCTTGCAGTCCATGGGACTCGCAGGAGTCTTCTCTAGCACCATAGGTCAAAGGCCTCAATTCTTTGGCGCTCAGCCTTTCTTATGGTCCAGCTTTCACAGCCATACATTGCAACTGGGAAAACCATGGCCTTGACTATACGACATGACTACTAGTTGGCATGAAACAAAGAAATAAAGCAACAAATTATTTGTTGATTTTTTCAGTTTTGGTCCTGATTGCATTAATTTGAATAGTTTATGCAAAAGAAAATCACACAAACTGATTATGACAACATAACACAGTCGCCAAAATGATTCAGTCTGTAAAAATTATCATGTTCCCATCAATTAAATTAAATTGATGGGAACATAAGAGTTGAAGATGTAGTCAAGAATGAACGGGTTAAAATATTGTGGGATTTCCAAATACAAACCAATGGAAGACACAGTTGCAGGTCAATGGTGAGAGACTGGGAGAGGTTAATATCAAGAGAGGAATATTTCAAGGAGATTCACTATCACCACTACTATTTGTCATTGCATGTTTCCTCTGTTAATGATACTGAATAACTCAGGCCACGGCTATCAAACATCAAAAACATCTGCCAGACTATTCCATCTCCTTTACATGGATGATCTGAATCTGTATGGAAAAACTCCATCTGAAATAGAATTGCTGCTCAACACTGTCCGTATATATAGCCAAGATATTGCAATGAAGTTTGGCTTGACAAATGTGAAAACTGAAGGAAGATGCCCCACAAAAATAACATTAAGAGTCTGGATGAGGATGATTACTACAAATACTTGGGTATCCTTCAAGCTGACAACATCAAGCACACTGAAGTCAAGAAAAAGATTAGAGGGGAATACATCAAGAGAGTGGAGAAGATCTTAAAGTCCAAACTCAATGGAGGAAATACCATCAAGGCAATCAACACCTAGGCAATTCACGTCATTAGATACACAGCTGGAATAGTGGACTGGACTCAAGCAGAACTAAAAGCAATAGATAGGAAGACCAGAAAAATAATGATAATGAATCATACCTTTCATCCACGCAGTGACATTAACAGACTCTGTCTACCAAGGCAAATAGGTGAGCGTGGAATGTTGCAAGTATATTAGATGGTTGAAGAATTAAAAAATGGCTTTGGAAGAATATCTGAAGGACAATGATGAAGATGCACTGAAGTTAGTATATCAGGAAGGCTTACTGACTACTGGAGAGACCAAACTGGCCTAGCAAGAAAGGTCAAATGAAGAACAGAATAGAGGCATGGGAATACAAAGCACTACATGGCCAGTACATTAAAAAAAATAGCTGGGAAAGCAGATAATAACCAGACCTGGCAATGGCTAAGAGCAGGAAAGTTGAAGAAAGAGACCGAGGGACTAATACTGGCTGCACAAGACCAAGCTTTAAAGACAAATGCATACAAAGTCAAAATTGAGAAGACAGCAACAGACAGTAAGTGCCGCCTATGCAAAGCTGAAGAAACAGTGGACCTCTTGGTAAATTGCTGCAAGAAGATCACACAAACTGACTACAAGCAGCAGCATGACAAAGTAGCAACAATGGTGCATTGGAAGATTTGCAAGAAATATCATTTGCCTGCAAGCAAGAACTGGTGGGACCATAAAATAAAGAAAGTCGTAGAAAATGAAAAAGTTAAATTGCTCTGAGACTTTAGAATTCAAACAGACAGGCAGGCACCTGCCACATAACACCCCAGACTTAACAATTGTCGATAAGAAAGACAAAAAAGTTTGGACAGTGGACGTGGCAGTGCCTGGAGGCAGCAGAATAGAAGAGAAAGATCTGGAGAAGATAACCAAATACAAAGACCTGCAAATAGAAATAGAAAGACTGTGGCAAAGGCAAGCAAGGGTAGTACCAATAGTAATTGGCTCCTTGGGTACAATCCCAAAACAGCTGGAGCACCACTTGAACACCATTGGCATTGACAAATTCGCCATTAGTCAATTGCAAAAGACGGCTTTATTGGGAACAGCTTCCATCCTGGGACAATATCTGTAACACCATCAAACATCCACATCTGCCTATCCCAGGTCCTCGGTAAGGACCTGATAGGTAGACAAAAATGCCAAACATTTGGCTGACTGTGTGATGATCAACAATAATAATAATTTAAAAACAGCAGCTAATGCAGCTAGGCCAGGGGTAGGCAACCTTGGCTCTTTTATGACTCGTGGACTTCAACTCCCAGAATTCCTGAGCCAGCTGGCTCAGGAATTCTGGGAGTTGAAGTCCACGAGTCATAAAAGAGCCAAGGTTGCCTACCCTTGAGCTAGGCTAACTGCCATTGTTAGAAATTTCTCCTACATTTATTACAATGATCCACCTTCAAAAGTACCACAGTGCATCTCTATGGCCTAACTGCTGTCATTGCTTTGTGATGATTTTGGCATGGAGGACTATTTAATGGATCCAATTATAGAGTTTAACAAAACTTCAGTCAAAAAATTAAGTTTTATGGCAGGGGTGTCCAAACTTTTTTCAAAGAGGGCCAGATTGGATGAAGTGAACGTGCTGGAGGGCCGAACATTTTTCCGAACATTCTTTGAACCATTACAATTAAATGCAAATGAATTATTTTATGCCTCTCTCTCTCTCTCTCTCTCTCTCTCTCTCTCTCTCTCTCTCTCTCTCTCTCTCTCTCTCTCTCTCTCTCTC